GAAAGGTATCCCGTCCGTAGCATATAGAATATATTGAAAAGGAAGAAAGGTGCCCCCGTCACATACAGAATACATCGGGGTAACATTCCGTGTATGGTTATAACGAGGAATGTAGATACGGATACGACCCTCCTCGGGGTAACATTTCGTGTCTGGTTATAACGAGGACAACCAGAATGTAGATACGGATACGACCCCACTCGGGGTAACATTCCGTGTCTGGTTATAACGTCGTCATGTAGATACGGATACAACCTCCTCGGGGTGACATTCCGTGTCTGGTTATAACGAGGAATGTCGATACGGATACGACCCTCCTCGGGGTTACATTCGGTGTCTGGTTATAACGAGGAATGTAGATACGGATACGACCTCCTCGGGGTAACATTCCGTGTCTGGTTATAACGAGGAATGTAGATACGGATACGACCTCCTCGGGGTAACATTCCGTGTCTGGTTATAACGAGGAATGTAGATACGGATACGACCTCCTCGGGGTAACATTCCGTGTCTGGTTATAACGAGGAATGTAGATACGGATACGACCTCCTCGGGGTAACATTCCGTGTCTGGTTATAACGAGGAATGTAGATACGGATACGACCTCCTCGGGGTAACATTCCGTGTCTGGTTATAACGAGGAATGTAGATACGGATACGACCTCCTCGGGGTAACATTCCGTGTCTGGTTATAACGAGGAATGTAGATACGGATACGACCTCCTCGGGGTAACATTCCGTGTCTGGTTATAACGAGGAATGTAGATACGGATACGACCTCCTCGGGGTAACATTCCGTGTCTGGTTATAACGAGGAATGTAGATACGGATACGACCTCCTCGGGGTAACATTCCGTGTCTGGTTATAACGAGGAATGTAGATACGGATACGACCCTCCTCGGGGTAACATTCCGTGTCTTGTTATAACGAGGTCATGTAGATACGGATACAACCTCCTCGGGGTAACATTCCGTGTCTGGTTATAACGAGGAATGTAGATACGGATACGACCCTCCTCGGGGTAACATTCCGTGTCTGGTTATAACGAGGAATGTAGATACGGATACGACCCTCCTCGGGGTAACATTCCGTGTCTTGTTATAACGAGGTCATGTAGATACGGATACAACCTCCTCGGGGTAACATTCCGTGTCTGGTTATAACGAGGAATGTAGATACGGATACGACCCTCCTCGGGGTAACATTCCGTGTCTTGTTATAACGAGGTCGTGTAGATACGGATACAACCTCCTCGGGGTAACATTCCGTGTCTGGTTATAACGAGGAATGTAGATACGGATACGACCCTCCTCGGGGTGACATTCCGTGTCTGGTTATAACGAGGTCATGTAGATACGGATACGACCTCCTCGGGGTAACATTCCGTGTCAGGTTATAACGAGTCATGTAGATACGGATACGACCCTCCTCGGGGTAACATTCCGTGTCAGGTTATAACGAGGAATGTAGATACGGATACGACCCACCTCGGGGTTACAATTCCGTGTCTGGTTATAACGAGGAATGTACATGTGTTATGGAAACAATATGTACATTCATGAATTGAATACATCGAGAATGTCAAAATGAAAAAAAGGTCAACGAAGACGACATTTGCTGTTCATGTTTGATGCCGACCCCAAATAAATTGCTAGATGTTGGACGATTTGGTACTTGCTGATTGAAACATGTATTTGTGATGAATTGAATCTATATAAACATGGAAATATTCTTGACTGTCAACAAAAGATAAAATGAGTAACAATAACATACCACAGCGCCAATATGCAAAGATCCAACACCAAATCCAGTTTAGCATTATTGGAAACGTTTGGCAGGTCAACCGGTTATGAAACAAAAGGGCAATGTAAACTCGTATCAATCCGATACATATATAATCTATACCTGTTTTAATAGAAAACACATTCTCAATCTTGTTTCAGTTCAGTTCAAAGGGGCGCATTGCGTTTCGGAAGTCAATAAGTCAATGTTGGAATGAATAGTAACATGATTTAATTGAGGTACACTGAACAATCCACCATTACTGTATGTGCATACAACATAAGAGTAATGTACAGGAAACGATAGTCTGATACCCGTATTCATGAAACTATCTCAAACTCGGATTAAATGCTCAAGCATTGTTTCGTGTTCGGGTATATATATATGTCAATAACTCAGAAGAATTTTAGAAAAGTTGAATACCATTTCAATGTCTGTGCTTAGTTTTCGACAGTGCCACATGATTTGTGCAAGTAACAAGAAAGTTTGTTTGAGGGCATGAGAAATATTATTTCATGAATATACCGTGCACAAACAAATTTCCTGCTATTTCACCCAGGTGATCTAGTGACGTCACGGCTGTACATCAATCGATAGTGTTGATTTAGATGTAGCTATAGCTTGACTCACTTATGCTTGTAGAAATGATCACAGAAGACTCGTAGATTCCTCACAAACAGTACAGCCTTTGTAGTCATTGTACTCTAAGCTTAATGAAGATTTGTTCTAGCTCAGATGCGTGCGTTGTATTAAACACAAATGAGCATGGCTTGTTCCGATTGAACTTCAACATAGTGCTGCTTCCAATTCGTCCGAGGCGATGAATACACAATCTGCTGCAGTGAATTACAATAACGACGTTACATCTTTGCAAATCAGTAAAAGGTATTGAGTATTTGGTATATTTAACTATGGTTAACAATATCAAGTAAACGCGTGGCAGCCACAGTTAGACACTTGAAGTCACGTGACACCAGAAAATCTAATACATTCCGGCAAATTCGATGTAGGACAAACGCTTACAAATGTCTTTCTTCCTTCAACGGTTAAACAATGGAAAAACTAAACAACTACTGTCTAAATTAAAATTGCACTTAAAACTAAGCCAATCTAGTTTATTATTCTTTTTTGCACCAAAATGACAATCTACCATGCTGAAATGGTAAACTACAACCACTGAATGCACAATGTGGTTGTTTACGACCATCTGGTTGTATGTCATTGCATGCTATTGGGTATTATTTATAGGATTTATATCACTCCATCTGCACGTATATGTACGACAAATTAATCCTTGTTGTATGTCAACTCTCCTATCCCATCCCACCGACACACAAAAACGTAACTTTGCTTTTTACTTCTTAAATGTTTATGTCAGAGTGATGATTAAAGATAAATAATACATACATATGTAAAATTTGAGAAATATTAACGTAAATTAAACTAATCGGCTTGAGTACGATTCTGTAGGCTTACTGAACTTCGTCTGCATACTGAGTTGTAAATAGTTGTGTCTTTGGGGGCGAAGACTTAGAAAAAGGAGGTATGAATGTAGCGGAACTGGACGACTGGGTCGATCGTCGGCAACCATGTAGCTCAATTGGTAGAGCGTTCGTCTAGAGTTCGGAGGGTCCCGGGTTCGAACCCCGGTCTGGTCGTGCGTTTTTCCTCTAGCCTGTTACACATATTACACGTACACGTACATCTAATATTTCTTAGGACTTGTATGTAATATACAGGTTGCTTTAGTCAGGTACACGTGTCATGTTGGGGAAAGTCTCTATGTCTATGGTACGTGGTCTGGACGATTAGTGTTCGTTAGTGTGTTACCTGCTAAGTAATGTCAATGTTTGTCCGTATTTCGAATTGTCGTTGGCGTGTGTTCAGGTGTGACAGGTGAGAAAGCCATTTGTAAGTTCATTCGCGGAACCGCGCAGACGACCACACTTAATTATAAGTTACATACTACACACCCCTCCGGAGTGTTGACGTCATCATAGTCCAGTCGTTTCACCAAATTATGGCCCAAACACCTAACCCATTGCAAAATAATTTCCTTTTTGTTACGATGAGGACTATATATATATATATAATATAACAGGAAAAAAAGTCTCAAAAAAAAACCTTTGGAAAAAAATGGGGTTGTTTATACCCTAATAGAAGTTTTAACTTGCTGTGTTACCAACATGGAAGGTCTCATTATACTTTGTTTAGGAAAACAACTGACAGCATTTACTTAAAATAAAAATATCAATTTGAACAACTGTTTGTCTGTGTTTAGAAATGTGCTGAGCTATCGATGTTGTCGCACCGTACAATTTCAGAGACTTTTTTTCATTTCAGTTTTAGGCTTTTTTTATCGATTGAGAAGTGATGGGCAAAGTAAACGAGGTAGGTAGATGAAATTTGCCTTAAGTGCTTAAAACTATCTAAATTTTGATAAAGAATATATACCAAATTTCCAGGGGGGTTTCCATGTGAGGAAAAATTGAGGAAAATGGTGAAAATATATAAATTTTAAAGAAAATTATCAGGGTGGGTTTCTTGAAGCCCCCAAAAAAACTCTGGATCCGCCACTGTATATGACGAATTAAACCTATATCTTCAATTGAATTGCACTTATCTTCAATTGAATTGTACCCATCTGCAATTATTTGAATATACTTATCTTCAAATAATTGAAGATAGGTAAAATTAATTGAAGATAGGTAAAATTAATCGAAGATAGGTAAAATTAATCGAAGATAGGTCCAATTGATGATAGGTTCAATTCAATTGAGGATATTTTGTATTTGTACCTATGTTCAATTCATTTTACATAGGTTCAAAATTGGAGATAGGTATATTCAAACATATCTTCAATTGAATTTGATTCAATTAATTGTACCTATCTTCAATTATTTGAAGATAGATACCATCAATTGAATATATGTTTATTTGGCGTTCCATAGATTTCGGGCGAACGATGTTGGTGGCGGAACGCGTACGACGTAGAGCCACTTTCATTTAGAGTTTGGTGCGTTTTAAACAGCTCTACTTGGGTTGTTAATTCTGAAACAGGGACGTATTTAGTGTCTGTTGTTGCTCTGTAGTAAACTTTGGCCAAGACTTTGAATGGTTGCATTAAAATTGGCGAGGTAGTCAGGCTTTATCCCCGAAATACTATAATTAATTTAACACATATCGGTTTGCTCGCATAAACGAATAGGCCCCAGACACTGCCGTTCGGAATTTCCCTGTGATCCACCTTGATTACATGCCGGTAAACCTGTCGCTGGTTTCTTGGGCAAGCGTTTCATCGTCAGTTAATTCTTAAGGAAAGGGAGTTTGTGATACCTATGGGAGTTATTTCCAAGTCAACGAAGTTGATATTACAACAGGGCACACGCTTATTCTTATCACCGATCGCGATTAGTCTCCCTTTTTCTAGCTCTCGTTCCAACATGGCCTGCAATCCTGTCACAGAGGCGTCTGCAAGACAGCTCTTGAGTGATGTTGATAACTTTGTTTTCGATTGTGACGGTAAGACACGCACCTTTACATATTTCTGGTATATATATATATATATATATATCACTAGGGTAACGTTGTTAAACTGTTCTATTATGTGTCTGAGTGATCAGCTGAACAGTGCGTGGGAGGTCCGGGATCCACCCAACACATTCACATGGTCAATGATAACGTTATTTGGAAAACGGAGACGAAGTTAAGCGTGATCACGTAGTTAGACGAATAACTTTAAAGTCATAACCACATTTCTGTGTTTGGTAACACAGATTGATAAGCTGTACCACGCATTGAGACTAGGTTACTGGTTACTGTTCATTAACTGGTTTAGCAATGGAAGGGAGATAACTCGTACATGAAACGAAAGATAAAAATGCAGGGACAACAGGAATTGATCTAGCTTTTTGAATCTACGACCTTAGTAGACTTATTAGTTGTACTACATGTAGTCTAGCTGGAATTTAATAAACTTACTATAATAGATATTGCATGCATGTAGATTCATAACAATGTTTTCAGTTTTTAAGTTTGCTGGCTTTTTTGTGTGTAAGTATTCACAAAAAGAGAAAAAATGTAACCATACTTTTAAAGGGAAATTGACCAATTTTAGGTATAAAAAGTCTACTTGTAATGTATCATATATACAGTCTGGGGACAGATTTATAAAAAAATATATAAAACATTTTGTGTGTGTCAGGTTACTTATATTACAACGGCATGAGTAATGTATACTGTATGACCAGGAGGTAAGACCATGTGGAATGTCAAACCTGTTTGGCCTGATGTGCATAATAAATTGATCTTCGCAAAACACAGTGATTTAATGGATTAGAAATTAATTTTATTCAATTTTAATTAGCTAACTTTTTATTGTTTGAATTCACTGGTATTTTAACATGTTCAGAACCTGACTGAACTTGATAGAATGAGTGAGATTTAATTAACAATCCTGAAAATGGCTGCTATTAAATTTGCTTTCATTTTATTTAAAGATAAAATAATATATTTCTTGACTTCAACTGATCACCTGATGATTTTCAGTACCAGTACTAAAATTGAGTATTTTCCAGGTGTGCTCTGGGATGGATTGACTGCTATTGAAGGTAGTCCCGAAACACTGAAACGTCTAAAGAAACTGGTAAGATTTAAATTCGGGACTAATCTTGAGATGTAAGGATTTTACACTTGGTACAGAATTCCTCTTGTCAAATATATACGATCCCTATCCTCGATACTTCAGGGTTTAACTTAAACTTAGGCTCACTGCACCGCTGGAATATGCCATGACAAAATTGAAAGCTCGGTGTGCGCCACCTTGTGGATGAGACAAGAAGACAAGTTTGATCCTTTGATGTACATCAAAAGAATCTTGCTGTTCCATAATGGTAAAACTGACTGGCTTTGATGTATATCTGTTCCATAATGGTAAAACTGACTGGCTTTGATGTATATCTGTTCCATAATGGTAAAACTGACTGGCTTTGATGTATATCTGTTCCATAATGGTAAAACTGACTGGCTTTGATGTATATCTGTTCCATAATGGTAAAACTGACTGGCTTTGATGTATATCTGTTCCATAATGGTAAAACTGACTGGCTTTGATGTATATCTGTTCCATAATGGTAAAACTGACTGGCTTTGATGTATATCTGTTCCATAATGGTAAAACTGACTGGCTTTGATGTATATCTGTTCCATAATGGTAAAACTGACTGGCTTTGATGTATATCTGTTCCATAATGGTAAAACTGACTGGCTTTGATGTATATCTGTTCCATAATGGTAAAACTGACTGGCTTTGATGTATATCTGTTCCATAATGGTAAAACTGACTGGCTTTGATGTATATCTGTTCCATAATGGTAAAACTGACTGGCTTTGATGTATATCTGTTCCATAATGGTAAAACTGACTGGCTTTGATGTATATCTGTTCCATAATGGTAAAACTGACTGGCTTTGATGTATATCTGTTCCATAATGGTAAAACTGACTGGCTTTGATGTATATCTGTTCCATAATGGTAAAACTGACTGGCTTTGATGTATATCTGTTCCATAATGGTAAAACTGACTGGCTTTGATGTATATCTGTTCCATAATGGTAAAACTGACTGGCTTTGATGTATATCTGTTCCATAATGGTAAAACTGACTGGCTTTGATGTATATCTGTTCCATAATGGTAAAACTGACTGGCTTTGATGTATATCTGTTCCATAATGGTAAAACTGACTGGCTTTGATGTATATCTGTTCCATAATGGTAAAACTGACTGGCTTTGATGTATATCTGTTCCATAATGGTAAAACTGACTGGCTTTGATGTATATCTGTTCCATAATGGTAAAACTGACTGGCTTTGATGTATATCTGTTCCATAATGGTAAAACTGACTGGCTTTGATGTATATCTGTTCCATAATGGTAAAACTGACTGGCTTTGATGTATATCTGTTCCATAATGGTAAAACTGACTGGCTTTGATGTATATCTGTTCCATAATGGTAAAACTGACTGGCTTTGATGTATATCTGTTCCATAATGGTAAAACTGACTGGCTTTGATGTATATCTGTTCCATAATGGTAAAACTGACTGGCTTTGATGTATATCTGTTCCATAATGGTAAAACTGACTGGCTTTGATGTATATCTGTTCCATAATGGTAAAACTGACTGGCTTTGATGTATATCTGTTCCATAATGGTAAAACTGACTGGCTTTGATGTATATCTGTTCCATAATGGTAAAACTGACTGGCTTTGATGTATATCTGTTCCATAATGGTAAAACTGACTGGCTTTGATGTATATCTGTTCCATAATGGTAAAACTGACTGGCTTTGATGTATATCTGTTCCATAATGGTAAAACTGACTGGCTTTGATGTATATCTGTTCCATAATGGTAAAACTGACTGGCTTTGATGTATATCTGTTCCATAATGGTAAAACTGACTGGCTTTGATGTATATCTGTTCCATAATGGTAAAACTGACTGGCTTTGATGTATATCTGTTCCATAATGGTAAAACTGACTGGCTTTGATGTATATCTGTTCCATAATGGTAAAACTGACTGGCTTTGATGTATATCTGTTCCATAATGGTAAAACTGACTGGCTTTGATGTATATCTGTTCCATAATGGTAAAACTGACTGGCTTTGATGTATATCTGTTCCATAATGGTAAAACTGACTGGCTTTGATGTATATCTGTTCCATAATGGTAAAACTGACTGGCTTTGATGTATATCTGTTCCATAATGGTAAAACTGACTGGCTTTGATGTATATCTGTTCCATAATGGTAAAACTGACTGGCTTTGATGTATATCTGTTCCATAATGGTAAAACTGACTGGCTTTGATGTATATCTGTTCCATAATGGTAAAACTGACTGGCTTTGATGTATATCTGTTCCATAATGGTAAAACTGACTGGCTTTGATGTATATCTGTTCCATAATGGTAAAACTGACTGGCTTTGATGTATATCTGTTCCATAATGGTAAAACTGACTGGCTTTGATGTATATCTGTTCCATAATGGTAAAACTGACTGGCTTTGATGTATATCTGTTCCATAATGGTAAAACTGACTGGCTTTGATGTATATCTGTTCCATAATGGTAAAACTGACTGGCTTTGATGTATATCTGTTCCATAATGGTAAAACTGACTGGCTTTGATGTATATCTGTTCCATAATGGTAAAACTGACTGGCTTTGATGTATATCTGTTCCATAATGGTAAAACTGACTGGCTTTGATGTATATCTGTTCCATAATGGTAAAACTGACTGGCTTTGATGTATATCTGTTCCATAATGGTAAAACTGACTGGCTTTGATGTATATCTGTTCCATAATGGTAAAACTGACTGGCTTTGATGTATATCTGTTCCATAATGGTAAAACTGACTGGCTTTGATGTATATCTGTTCCATAATGGTAAAACTGACTGGCTTTGATGTATATCTGTTCCATAATGGTAAAACTGACTGGCTTTGATGTATATCTGTTCCATAATGGTAAAACTGACTGGCTTTGATGTATATCTGTTCCATAATGGTAAAACTGACTGGCTTTGATGTATATCTGTTCCATAATGGTAAAACTGACTGGCTTTGATGTATATCTGTTCCATAATGGTAAAACTGACTGGCTTTGATGTATATCTGTTCCATAATGGTAAAACTGACTGGCTTTGATGTATATCTGTTCCATAATGGTAAAACTGACTGGCTTTGATGTATATCTGTTCCATAATGGTAAAACTGACTGGCTTTGATGTATATCTGTTCCATAATGGTAAAACTGACTGGCTTTGATGTATATCTGTTCCATAATGGTAAAACTGACTGGCTTTGATGTATATCTGTTCCATAATGGTAAAACTGACTGGCTTTGATGTATATCTGTTCCATAATGGTAAAACTGACTGGCTTTGATGTATATCTGTTCCATAATGGTAAAACTGACTGGCTTTGATGTATATCTGTTCCATAATGGTAAAACTGACTGGCTTTGATGTATATCTGTTCCATAATGGTAAAACTGACTGGCTTTGATGTATATCTGTTCCATAATGGTAAAACTGACTGGCTTTGATGTATATCTGTTCCATAATGGTAAAACTGACTGGCTTTGATGTATATCTGTTCCATAATGGTAAAACTGACTGGCTTTGATGTATATCTGTTCCATAATGGTAAAACTGACTGGCTTTGATGTATATCTGTTCCATAATGGTAAAACTGACTGGCTTTGATGTATATCTGTTCCATAATGGTAAAACTGACTGGCTTTGATGTATATCTGTTCCATAATGGTAAAACTGACTGGCTTTGATGTATATCTGTTCNAATTGGTGGGTATGACCCCTCTAGGGGCATACGGGTGGGGCTCTGTTTGAAGTTTGTTCTTGCTATATCTCAAGTACTGGATGGATCTTTCTGAAATTTCATATGTACTTACAGCACTTACATATACCATGGTGTCCTTTATCATTACTTCATACCAATTATTTTAAACATATTCAGGTGAGCGATACAGGCCCTCTGTGCCTCTTGTTTTAAAACTTCATCTAATCATTGCATTTCTTCAAAAAGTTGTAGGACAAGGTTTGTAGTTTTAACATTGGTTACTTTTATGACATGTTTTGATGACGTATCATTTATATGGCTAGAACAATACCAGTGATGGGTTTAGTAAAAGGCTGTAGTGATCACAGTGTCAGAAGTTCAGCTCTCAGTGTGCGCAGCCTCCAGCTTAAGTTGCCAGTTAGAAAACAATCTTGATTCCAGGTGGATTGTGTATTGGTTGGCTTTGATCCTCACCTCAGCCTCAACAAGATGGTGAAGGGAGCGTCCTATGCTAGGAGGGAAGGGTCGCTGTTCCTAGCTACTAATGAGGACTCCCACCTTCCCCTCAGGAGTGAGGTGACCATCCCAGGTGATTAGATCTTCACGGTGTTAACTATGTCAAGATATTGTGAACATCTGTTTGTTATCTATTGATGCATAGTGCAAGAGGCCCTGAGTCCGAGGCTCTGAGTGTTAACTGAGTCCGAGGCTCTGAGTGTTAGCTGAGTCCGAGGCTCTGAGTGGTAACTGAGTCCGAGGCTCTGAGGGTTAACCGAGTCCGAGGCTCTGAGGGTTAACCGAGTCCGAGGCTCTGACTGTTAACCGAGTCCGAGGCTCAGAGTGTTAACCGAGTCCGCGGCTCTGAGTGTTAACCGAGTCCAAGGCTCTGAGTGTTAACTGAGTCCAAGGCTCTGAGTGTTAACTGAGTCCGGGGCTCTGAGTGTTAACGGAGTCTGAGGCTCTGGATGTTAACTGAGTCTGAGGCTCTGCGTGTTAACTGAGTCTGAGGCTCTGAGTGTTAACTGAGGCCGACGCTCTGAGTGTTAACTGAGTCCAAGGCTCTGAGTGTTAACTGAGTCTGAGGCTCTGAGTGTTAACTGAGTCTGAGGCCCTGAGTGTTAACTGAGTCCGAGGCTCTGAGTGTCGTTTAGTGAGTCCGAGGCTCTGAGTGTTAACTGAGTCCGAGGCTCTGAGTGTTAACGGAGTCTGAGGCTCTGGATGTTAACTGAGTCTGAGGCTCTGAGTGTTAACCGAGTCCAAGGCTCTGAGTGTCAAGCTTTTACACAATTTCTCTGTTTAACATGTTTGATGAAGGTTCATGTTGTAAAGAAAATCGACCTGTCAAGGCACGATACTCATCAGGAACGTAAAACAAGACCTGGTGTTAATACAGTACATCCACTCCATTTATAAAAAAAAAAAACAACTTTCAAACTTGATGTTAAACAGAAGTGTGTACACTTTAGTTATTTACCAGGAAAATGTATATTTGTGGTATTTAAAACTCTTCACTTTGAAAGAGTCATGCCAAGGAGCAAAATTCAAGAGACTTTCATTTCTTCAATGTAAAAGTAGTAATTATCACCATTTTTGCCAGATGTCAGATATACAGTGTATGAGTTTAACGATACAGGTATAGTGGGCCTTTTGTTACAGATTGTTGTTGTTGTTGTATATGTACAAAGCATCATGAAGTAATGAGATCAATGACATCAGTTATTGTCTTGTTTCCAAGGTACGGGAAGCATAGTGGCTGCAGTCAAGGTACCAGCCCGCCGAGAACCCATTGTGATAGGCAAGCCCAACCCAACCATATTTAATGTCCTGAAAGAGGCCCACGGACTCGACCCAAGTAGGACCTTGATGGTGGGAGACAGGTAGGTTTGTGGGATCCCTGATTTTATATAAAAAAATAAATAAGATTGTTCCTGTAACACCCAAATCATAGGCCTTTGAGTTGCATCTTTTTGTAAGAATATCTGACAATACATATAATGTCTGTTTTGTGTACATAAGAATATCTGACAACATATATAATGTCTGTTTTGTGTACATAAGAATATCCGACAATATATATAATGTCTGTTTTGTGTTCATAAGAATATCTGACAATATATATAATGTCTGTTATGTGTTCATAAGAATATCTGACAATATATATAATGTCTGTTTTGTGTATATATGAATATCTGACTGTTATGGCATTGTAAAATATCAGAATACACCTTCAAAAGTGAGGTGTCTAATTTAGTTTGATTTACATATGAAATATGAAGTAAAAATAAAATTGTTTATAAGTTAAATACTTACGGTATACTGGGAAACTTTCGCACAGTAAAACCTTCACCCACTACATGTAATTAAGATGAATAGTATGCTTACTATAAGTATTGGCTATTATTATAAATTTGCCCTGTTTAGGGAGGGCAAAAATGGAAGATTTAGTTATACCATCTTTGGCCACAAGATGTACTGTGGCAAAAATGTCCTGGTTCATTTTTTAAAGTGAAAGAAGAAGTTCTGAATATTTTGTATTATTTAGAAATTTCTGGGATTACTATCTTTTTCTCCAACACTAATTTCACATGTGTCCGATATATGTTTATACACAGGTGTAACACAGACATAGCCCTAGCTAAGAACTGTGGACTGCACTCACTCCTCGTGTTGTCAGGTGTTGTGAGCCAGGAAGACGTTGACAGGGACAAAGTTTCGTCAGACCCAGCAATCACATGCAATCTGCCGGACCATGTTGCAAACTGTCTATGGGAGTTTGGGAAGCACATTCCAGATGCTCTTTGATGTTGACTATTCATTAGGAATCCATTTATTTATTTTTGTTTGTGAAAATAATCAAACGCTGAGTAATTTAATTTGTGCTTTAATTTTGTATTGATAAAGTGTCCCAGTTTTGTTCCAGAAACAAAGTTATAGGGATTTAATATCTGTCACACAACATTGTCAAAAGTCTGTAATCTAAATTGACAAAGTATCAGAAGGGTAACAGTTTCCAGGATAGATTCCATGGAAATGTAGTGATAAGAGAACTTCACAGTGATATAAATGTTATATACCAATATCAGTTTTGTGGTAACTTCATTTTAATCAGTCTGTAAGGAACACACAGAATACCAAGTGTTGATCACATTAGTTTTGTCACCAGGATGTGACCTATGACCCTGAGTGTCAAACAGTTTATATATATAACTTTGTCAGCTCATGGCTAATACATTTCTGTGTTCTGAAGTAGATCTCCACACCTCTGTGTTGTTCTGAAGTAGATCTCCACATTTCTGTGTTGTTCTGAAGTAGATCTCCACACCTCTGTTTTGTTCTAAAGTAGATCTCCACATTTCTGTGTTGTTCTGAAGTAGATCCCCACACTTCTGTGTTGTTCTGAAGTAGATCTCCACACTTCTGTGTTGTCCTGAAGTAGATCTCCACACCTCTGTGTTGTTCTGAAGTAGATCTCCTGTTCTGAAGTAGATCTCC